TGTTATTGATTTTCATCAGCATAAGTTGAGGAGACTGGAGTTCTTAGAAGAACTAGGTGTTGCTTTGTTTTTTAATTTCAGCTTGTTACAAAAATGGAAAAGCTTCTCATAGAATGGAAATTATGAGCAGTGTGGATTTTCAGGCAATCAAAACATTTTAATGATCTCATTAAATGTGTCATTTACAACACATATACGTTAAAAGAAATATGTTCCTTTGGGTTAGCGAAAGCACTGGTTCCACAATGTGTTTGAACATGTTAGGCTTCCACTCGAATCTGTGCCAGAACTGCAGAAACTTGGAGGGAAAAAGAAAACCACAACACCCTTATTCTTGTGCCAGCATCTTTAGAGACAGAAACCTTTTTATCACATTTTATGCGAAATGAAGAAAAAGATGTTATGGCAACTTGATAGACTGTGCTACGACTGCATCCCAGCTGATAGAGAAGTATCTCTGTTAAATGCTGTCGGATTGACTGTTCTTCTATGATATTACTAGGATTAATGATGAATTTTCTTATGCATGAAACAACTAGTGTCATACAGGGAGAGCAGTCTTCCTAAAACCACAGTTTTGTCATCTGTTGAGTTTCGTATGTAGCCTTGAGAGTTTGGAAAATGAGGGTTCTTGAAAAAAACTGTTACTAGAACAGTGGCATTTAAAGCCAATTCATTCATTCGTCTGTCTCTTACAAACTGCAGGTTCTAGAGAAAAGCCCCTGCTTCAAGCAGCCGCTTTCCTGATGATGCACAAAGCGTGAAACCCCAGTGCTGGTGGAAGGAGTGGGGTACAGATGCAGACACCCAGATATTTTTTTTCCTCGGCGTCTCCAGTTTTGGAACTATCGGTGCATTGAGAATGAGCCTCCTAAAGCAATAATTTTAAAGATATGTTAACGAGAGATGCGTCCAGCTTTCGAAACTGTATCTTTGCCAGATGTAGGCAGAGGCGAGCTGTGCGAGCTGTTTTCCACCCTGAGCCAGCTGGTGCAGCGGGCAACAGGCCTGGGCTGGAGAAATGAAGCTGTTGCATTATACCTCTCCTATTTCTTTTTATTGTAGTATTGTTCCCCGAGTGGTTTGCTGACAAGTTATATGTTTTATAGATCAAACCTGCTTGATGAGGAATCCTTGCTTAAAATCGTACCTAGGATAAATCAGGTTTGCAAATCAGACCTTATGGTTCCTATTGGAATGCTAATGATCTCAGAGGGAGGGCTTGGGTTTTGAAAACAAATCTAAGCTGATGTCCAGGATTCCTGCAAGAGCTGTTAATATAACAAAAACTCATGTTTAATGCTTCTTTTAAAACGTAAAAACTTGTCAGGCGCTGCTTCACCAAAGCTGCCTGGAGCTGCTGAAATGTGCGGGCACACCAAAGCGTCCAGAGATCCGGCTGGATCTCTGCTGTTGTGGTACAGCGATTCCAGTGCTGTCAGCAGTGACACAAACAAACCATCATGTTTTGGGTGTATTTTCTGCATAGATATCTATGCAAGGCATTTAGCCCAGCATGTTTGGCCGTACCAAGGAAGCAAGAATGACTCTTCTCTTGGTTACTGTTGGTTGGTGAGCTCCCAGAAGAGTGCCACCCTCACATATTGTGAAAAAGTGTTCAAATTAGTCAAAATACATCACGTATTTAAGAGAGTTTTGAACACTCAACGTTCATTCGTGCTAGGTATGAGCAGTAAAGGAGTGTTTTACGTCTTTGAATTGAGGAAGAAGTACAAAGCCAGGAGACACACGTGGGACGTGGACATCTCTCTTCTCTGCTAATCTAAGCTAGTTTCTGTTGCTACCACCGTCAAGTTTGCAGGTGAATTAGTAGTGTTAGTAGCATAATAAAGGAGGCCTTATTGAGCTGTGATAGCTGGTGGCATTTTAGCTGCTGCATCATCTTGATCCAATGAAAATCAACATGAAGGGTGAACTGGTTAACACACCAGCAGCTCTGTTGATACTCTAGCTGGCACCAACTGGCCATTCTGGGGAGGAAAATGCTCTTGGAGGTTCAACATTAGCAAGTCCTTGGTACCTCCTGGGGAAGAAGGAAGCAGACTATTTCTGTGTCTCAAAAGGTGCTTTGTATTCAGTGGTATAAAGATATCTGTAGCACTCTGCATAGACCTTTTAGATAGAATCATTCCTGAGGAAAGAGACATTATGTCTGCCAACTCTCAGGCCAAAGCAAAATTTTATAGCCCGGTTGCAAACCCCTAGGACAGGGCTTTATAATGGAAACGCTGACATAGCCTTAACCATTTTGTATTACCCCAGTGGGCATCAGCTTAAATTCTAGCTATGATGTGCATTTAATAGCATGGGATCAAAGACATGGTGTCATGGGATAATTTAAGATACTATGTTTGAAGAGAATTGATATTTAAACATTATTTATGAACCATATCATTTAAATACTTCTGAAAAGTGCCATTCAGTCCTTGGTTGCATGAAAAAAGATTCTAATTGCATTTCTCAGAGTGAACAGTAGTGTAGTTTTCTTCCACAGCTTTAATGCTGAAGCACTTCCATGCAGAAGCTTGGTATTATTTTGTTGAACCCTTACTGGAATATTTCTGGAAAATGAAGGTTTTTCATTTTTCACCATGGTGCTCTTCAATTCTTCATCGAGGCCTTTTGAGGTCTATTCTGATTTTCCTTGGAGAAGATCTTTGAAAATCGTTTCTCGCAGTTATCAGTGACTGATAAGAAGACAGCAGTTACCAGTATTTGCTGTGTTATGCTAGACAAATCTGCTTTTTCTTGTGCAGTATCTTCTACGTATTTCAGGTTAAGCTGATAGCATAAAAGTTCTCTCTGTGTCTCTCACACACAACCTAATATGTGGGGGTTTTTTTTATAATGCTGAGGAAGTGGGTGTAGGTTGACAGTAAAACTTGCTTTAATGCAGATGATGACTAGATCTCTCACTGCTTTTACTGCAAATGGGAAGGTGGTGTTGAAAAGGGCCAGTTTTGCTTATTACTCTGTCGCAGTCTGGAACATAAAGCCATATACTTTATCCTAGAAAAAAGGCTTCTCCTGCAACGGTTATTTACTGAATAATGATGCTAACTGAAATTATTTCAGTGCAGAAGGTTAGGAAGTTTCAGAGCTAATCCTGAAAAGTTTGTGTAATAGTTTGAATCTATTCTTAATTAATTCGTAATAATCCGTGTGAAAGCACTTTGATAGCATAAAAAATGGAAACAGTCTTTGGAGAAGTGCCAGTCTGACTAAGCCAAAGAGACTCTGTCACTGGTTTCTGTCAAGCCAGAGCTCCACTCCTGCTGCAAGCCCGTCCAGCCGGGAACAGGGGATCCACAGTACCTTGCTTTCAGAAATTGCAATAGCAAGAATCACGGTGTCGGTCCTGTGGTTCGCACTGGTTTGTCTTTGGGATAATCAGAGTGGTCCAACTGAGCATGCAGGGTGCAGCCTAGAGGAAGGGCTTGGGCTTTCATCCTGCAGTTTACTCATTTGTCCAATTTGTGAGGAACGTGGCTATCAAAAAGTCTCCCCAGTATATTTTAGTTCTGAAATTTTACAAATCACACTATTTTGCAAGCTTCCTTTCTATACGAACATTTTTTTAGGGAACGTGGAAATGACATGATTGTCGTCCTTTAAAAAACAAGCTCAAAATTATGATATATTCTAAATGGGTGATAACTGTAATTCCAACTATTTCAGCAGTTTAAGGAAAATTAAAATTCTGTCTTAATCCTGTGGTAAGGTCTGAAATATTTAATTGCTTCATTCCACATAGGTCTTATAGGTGCACTCTTATCTTTTTATTTTTGACAGAATCAAGTGACACAAAAAAATACTGTAGTTCTTTTGACTTTACAGGAAAAATTAGTAGTCTGAAAAAGGTGTTTCACATTATTTAGGAATTTTGCAGCGGCCTATCATTTTTTTGACAGGAAACAGAAAATATTGAGATGCATATCTCAAGAGCAGAGTTCCAGAATGGAAAAAAACTACATGTGTGCACTGAATGTACAAGCTGCACTATTTAGGACTTCTGAAATTTACTAAGAGCATTTTACAAATGCAGTCATTTTCACTAACTTTCCTGCTTTCCACTTGGTTGAGGCATCATCTGTCACCACTCAATCTTTTTTTTTAGCTATTAAAAAGGCATGTAATTTTAATTTTTGTGGCCCATTAGTGTGCAAATGCCATTGGGCTTGTTTAGCCTGAACTGACGGTCTAAATTCAAATCCCTCTGCTTTTGAGGAGACTGTGGACTGTATTTTAGAAACACAGCCATCAAAATCTAAAAATCAAGACATGAAAATAACTAGAAGCAAATATTTTTGGCAAGTCTACAGGGAGCAGAAATGGGTACATAAATTTTCCGAAGTAATACAGTGAACAAAATATGGAAAAATTATAAAATAGTGTCAACTGATAAAGTTGAAATCACAGTTTCGTGATCTCGCTGAACCTGGGGGACAAAGAACCCCAAGTAACTAGAAAAGCAGAACGCATTTAACCATTACAGTCCTTTGGAGAACATGTAGGTTTTGGATAGTCTCGATTTTTTTTTATTAATAAATTAATTTATTTAGATGTATGCATTCCTTAAAAAGAATTTTAAAAAAGAAAAAAGAAATGGCAACAAAAATCTTGAGGGTGGTCTAAGATGTCTGTCTTCTTTATGAAACCTTTTGCGTTTTGTGTTTAAGAACTGACATTCCAAATGATTTTCTTTGGCTTTATGCCTGGACCAAATACTGAGGCAGCAAATTAGGAATGCTTCAGAAGTCCCACGAAGGAAGATGTTTGCTGTGAAAGTACAGCTAATGTGACACTTGCTCTGGAAGCTGCCTAGCCTGCTCAAATGATAAAGATGGCAGGCATCTAGATGGTGTGAGGGGGGTGAATGAAGACTGAAAGTACCATGTGCTGAGCTGTACAAGGTGTTTCTGGTGTCCGGTTATCTGCCACTGTGACTATGCTGATACTACCTTTTATTTCTATTCCAGGGGCTAACTTCGTGACTCGAAAAATTAGTCGATCGGTAGCAAAGATTCACCTTGGACAGCTGGATTGCTTCAGCCTGGGCAATCTGGATGCTAAGAGAGACTGGGGCCATGCCAGGGACTACGTTGAGGTAAGCTGTGGGCCACGTGCCTTTTTCTGAATCATATTCGTGGTGGGGATAATGCTTATTGCTCTAACTTCAGGTCATGGTCCACAGAGGGCTATCTCAGGATGTTTTTGCCTATTGAGGCCTGTTAACTTTGTCTTGCTCTTGATTTCAGACTAGGGAATTTAATAACACAGCAGTCTACCCCAGGCATGACCTGAACAGAAAAATAAATCTTTGTGTTTAGATTCCTTGACTGAATTCCTTGGAGAAGGGGGCTGTCTATAAATTGGATCCATTTTAGATTATTTCTCCTATTGTTTTGACAAATTTTATGATCAATATTAAGATTGCAGGAAGATGCAATATGACCTGAAGTCAACGATCCTCCTGGAGGTTGGTGGCCTTTATTATAATGAGGCAAGAACGATGTATCTATTAATGATCAAAGGTCTAGCTGGTTATGCATTAGAAAGAAGCATCACAACATAGTTGTGGTGGCAGGTACAGCAATATGTGTGTCTGCATCTAGTGTTTGAAGTGTTTTTGTCGTCGGGATTTGTTTCTAATTTTATTCTATGCAACTACTTAAGCAGACAAACAAACAGTACCCCCCTGTATTGTATTACAAGGAGACGTGAATGACCATGTAGGAAATATTGTCTTTTCCCCAGGAGACTTTTGTCCCCATTTTGGTGCTTAAAGATTTCCTGTGGTCATTGGACTATTTCTGTCTTTTAATAATTCCTTGCTGGGAAACCGGATTTGGCTCCGCCATTCATTGATGTAGTTTAAAAAGATGACGACTGTTTGTTTTGTTTTTCAATATTACAAAGTAAGAAGTATTTCAGTAGGAAAAAGTCTGGTTTGAGATTTTTATTGTAAGTTGAGATTTAAAAGGTAAAATAAAAGCTGAGCTCTGGAATCTTGTTTACGGTCAAAAAGAAACAGCAAGGAAACAAAATCATAATGCTACAATATAAACTTTTGTTCTGAATGATATTAAAAGAAGTAAACATCTGTATCACTTTTGTGGAAAGGATTACATCAAGTAAGTAAGCAAGGTGATTTTTGGCAGGCTGCTATAAATAAAGTTGGCTTTTGGTTCTGCGCTGCATTTGCGTGTAAGGTGATAAGGGCATCGTGAATGTCATGACTATGCCTTCGTGACTATTGTTTTGTGTTTGTGGCTACAACATTAGTTGAAGAAGTTAATCCAGTACACCGTCCCAATCACCTTTTTAACAGATAAAACTATAGTCAAGACTGTTCATAAAGTCAGTTACCAAGTCTCAACTGAAAGGAAGTAAAAGATAAGCCAAATAAAATGATCAGTTGAATTAACATAATCAGCATAATTTGCTAACAGGCATGGGATATTCCATAAATACTTCGGCTATCTCATTCCAAGACAGCTTGCACCAGATCGTAAATCATGGGGTGAATTCTGAAGTCTTCTTCCATAAGGGAAATCCAGAATAACCCTCTTGTGCCTAGTAGGTCAGACCCTTCTTCTGTGTTCAGACCTTTAAAAACAAAAAGGAAATGAGAACAAGTCTATCCAGAAGAATGACTAGCTTTCAAGGGCTTTGGCCTCCAGAAGGAATGTAGTTGTCCAAGGTCTACAGCACGAACACATGTTTGTTGTGTAAGTAGCATTCCAGACCTTTCAGCTACACATTTTGGGCCAGTCCCAAAAATCTTCTGGAAAGAATTCCTCACTAAAATATTGTTCATCTTGAGTATTTCTCTTCCTGGAGAAGTACCTCTTCGGATAATGGGAGAGTTATTATCAATTCTCTAATTCCCTGAATATCGTGGAAATGTGATTACAGGCAGCCTTCTAATGGCTAAAAAAGAAAGTAAGTTTAATCTGGAAATAAACAATTATTTGAGGTTTTAATGAACTGGAAAGTAGGGCTTAGAGATTTAACGTTTTTCAAATAAATACATAGTATGCTAGAAAGCATGATTGTATTTACAAGCATTTGGGGAGCTTCCTTAGGTATTCAGCTGAACACGTAAGGATATATCTTATCCTCTCCATATGTACTTTTAAATCCCACTGATAATAATACAAATAACACATGTGCATGTAGACTAGACCATGTACTGTGTTTTCCTTCTCCTTACTTCCTTATTGGGGATAATAATAAAACCATAAATACATTCCCTTTTATTGTTTTATAAAACATTATGGGTCAATTCCTGATCTCATGAAAGCTGATGACCAAAGTCCCACTGACTTTGTGAAGACATCGCATCCTGTGTGTACCAGAGTGGAGAAAGTCTAGTGGTTACAAAGCACAGGCAGAGGTCGAGATTCCTGAGCTTTGATCACATGCATTCATCCAACTGCCATGGTGATTATGGGCGAACACTTCTGTATGTGGTAGAGCATGGAAGCCCGTGCCTGCACTGAAGCACGTAGGTGTCCACCAAGGGATGGGCTGCCGGCGTGCTCAGTGCTAGCTGTGGGTTGAGATCAGCTTTCGTACCAGATGATTCAGGAGTTTGATGTTTAAACATAGGTTTGTATCAGGGGAGAACAGTTGGAATATGTGTTTGATTAGGTTTTTGAGCTGGGACTTGGACTGCCACCTGCAAGAGCTGAAAATCAGGTACAGTGGCATTGTGCTGGTTGATGAAAACCAGGAAATCTAGCTCACTAGAGAGGTTTCCAGTTTGTGTTTGAAGAGAACAAACCAGAAATAAGTAGGCAGCGAAAAATTTTTGGAGGGTATTATTAGTTTTATCCTAAAACTATATTAGTAACATTTTTGCAGAAATTGCTGCTGCTTCTTACTCTCCTTCTCCATTTTTACGCTAATGTGATCCAGCACAACTCTCATGGGATGGTATTAGAGATGACAATCAATGCCACTGAGTTGGAAGAGGAAAAAAAATGTATCAGCACTATTGATATATGAATCTTCTGTGTGTTATTTTGTTTTGTGAGGGTAACTTATACCTTTATTTGCTGCAGAAAGTTCTAGTAAACCATCTGCTACGTATTTCCAAATATTAGTACAATAGCAAGCCTTAGCAGTCTGACTCATTTCTATGCCATTTATAAAGCACAAGGCATCATGCAAATTTCCTCAGACACTTACCCAAGGGTCTTATTTCAAATAAATGTGGATCCTCAGAAATATTTAACTTGGACCATTTAAAAAATTCCCATCAATCCATTACTAATTTATTTTTTTTTTTAATTTCCTACATGCTAAATACTGTAAATGAAGTCATGAAGGTATATCTGCAACTGAAACCTTAAAGTGTTGTTCTTGGGGACGTAATATATGCATTTATTTGTAAAGAAGTAAAGGGAAAGCCAGCAAATAGAATGTTGTCATGCTGAAAAGTGGCTCTGGGCGAAGAGCGAGTTCGTATTAGAGTTCAACAGCTGAACTTTTTCTTCGTTCCCTTCAATTTCCTCTCTGTCACCCACTGATGCTCAGGTTGCCTTCTGCAGCTGCACTGCCCACACCTCAGCGTTGTGCAGAGAGCAGAAATACTGCGCTGATGAATGCTGTGGAAAAGCCTATCAATATATGTATCTTACAAAACTAAACAAGTCAAAGGTAACAGTTTTAATAGTCTTTAAGGATTCATACAGATCAGAAATACTTTCTTTTGCCTTCAGTAGAAATCCAGCAGTATTTCAAGCAATAATTACAGTGGATTCATAACTGGGTCATAAATGGCTCCAATTCCATTAATTACAGGTCTAGTCAAATGCTTAAAATTAAGCATGTGCCTAAATTTGTGGTGACCATTCAGGGACCATTTGATATTCTAAATATATGCCAGTCAGCTTCCATTAATTTATATTTAAATAATGTAAAAAAAAAAAAAAAACAACAAAGCAAAAAGAACCATTTATAAAAATGAAATAGAGCAAGTTGTTGTACAGTCCAACCAAGCACATTAAGAAACTGTTTAAAGAGAGACTTTCCACCTTACTCTTCTTTAAATTGGTACTGTGCTGATTCGTACTTTACTTTGTGGTTAAAATGCACAAGAAAATCTGCAGTCATTTTTATTGCCTTAAACCATTTTCTGCATGTTGAAATTGAGATAGTAAAATCTAATCTACAGTGGTGTCTTCTGTGTTTAAATCGCCAGTCAGTATCACCTGGTCCTTTATTCATGATTCCTCTGTTCACAACCCCAATAGGTAGAGGCTGACCCTTGAAGACAGCTGCTACCATTTCTGTTGTGGGAGATCCCTTCTTGTATGTCAGTGTGTATGTTTAAACGTAAAAACTCTTGCCAGATAGAAGTATTTAAAATTTTACGTTACTCTTGTGCATAAGAAAAGGATTCAGCAGCGAGACTGTTGGCCAAGGCATTTCTAGTTCTGTTTTGTTGTTTTCCTAGAGTGTTAAGGATGTATCATCTTCTGAGAGAAGTTTTACCTTAGTCTGATGAGGTGAAGTTTTTTCTGACACATCCTTTCATCAGCCCAGCAGAATAACTGCTTGTGAGAGTCTTGCTTTGCTGAGGATTGTTGGTTATAAAAGTCCCTTGTATCTGTCTGTGTAACTATCAATACCTCCTACGGTTATGAGTTTGGCTCATGAACGTAAAGGCATGCTTTTAAATGAGGATTACCCTTTTGTTATGGACTGAAGTGAAAAATGTTTTTTCCTTCTCACTGCTTTGTGTTTATGCTCCAAGTTAACCACTTCTAACAAAAGTTAAGAAATAATTTTAAACCCTGGACGCTGGGCTTCTTTGAGTATGATGGTAAAGATTTTTGAGCCGTCCAGGTACTCGAGTAGTTTGTGTTTTTCCAAGTGAGAACTTTTTGTTTCCATCAGCTTGCTTGAGCTGGGATAGTTATTGGCTGTATTAAGCAAAATTGGTCATAAAATTATATCCAATCTGCTCTGATTGATGTGACCATCAACTGGCACTGATTATCTTATTGCTGCTGTCTAGGTGCAGTAATTGTGAGAGCAGCAGGACTTGTATGAACCTTTAGTAGAGAAGTTTTGATAAACCGTACTCCTTTGTCT